ACTGTGTGTGTGGTTGTACATGAGGTTCGAGGTTGGTGCTGGGAATCTTGCTTCATCCTCGGTTGTTCTCCCACCTTGTCCAGTGAGGCAGGGCCTCTGCACTGAAGCCGGGGCTCAGCCCCGCTGGCTGGCCAGGCTGCTTTGGGACACTCCATCCTTCCCTTCCGGGGCCTACCACACCCACCTGCCTTTTATGTAGGGTCTGGGGACTTGAATTCAGGCCCTCAGGCTGCGGGGCAAGCATTTCTCCACAGAGCCTTCTCCCCGGCCCAGTTTAATCGTTTTGAGACCTCCTGCTCCCTTGAGCCTTCTGCGTCGGTCCCTCTGGTGTCTCCGGTGTCCAGCACTGGACCTGTCCTAGGAAAGGGCCCAGTCCACCCTGCTTACATGCAGGGACAGGCAGGAATCACGCCTGCCTGAGGAGAGGGCAGGCAGGTGGGCTGCTGGCCAGTGTGGCACAGGCCCCACCTCTAACCCACCCTTCCTGGCTTCCCAGTACGAGCAGTTTGAGAGCACCATCGGCTTCAAGCTCCCGAACCACCGCTCAGCCAAGCGGCTGTGGAAGGTGTGCATCGAGCACCACACATTCTTCCGGTGAGGAACGAGGGGGCAAGAGGCGGGAGGTTCGGGGGGCAGGAAGAGGAGTCCGCACGGAGGAAGCCCCACCTTTCCCTCCAGTCTCCTCTCTGTGAAGGATTGTAGGTGGTGGGATGGACAGCCTCCTTGGGTCTGACCTTGGGCCTGGCCATGCAGGTTCGATCCCTCCTCATCTCCGTTACTCTGTTGTAGGCTGGTGTCCCCAGAGCCCCCACCCAAGGGCTTTCTGGTGATGGGCTCTAAGTTCCGGTACAGCGGGAGGACCCAGGCACAGACCCGCCAAGCCAGCGCCCTCATCGACCGGCCCGCGCCCTTCTTTGAACGTTCCTCCAGCAAGCGCTACACCATGTCCCGAAGCCTTGATGGAGGTATGGGTCACACTGGAGCCAGGATAGGGAGTAGCCCTTAGGGGGAACAAGGGTGTGAACGGGGCAGGGTCTACAGAACACACCGTGGTAGTTCTGGTGGACACTCCCAAGCCCGTTTGCACCAGACATGGTGATCCTCCCGGCGATGTGACACATACTCCCAGGACTTCCCTGGCTTATGACCTGGTGGGGTCCCAGGTCCTCCCGATCTGCTTTTCTGGGCCTCTGCCCAAGAAGCTCTGCAGTGCACAGGTTGGCATTCTGCCAGGAGAGTGAGATCCCGTGGTTTACAGGAAGGCAGGAGGATCTGGCCCTGTCCCTTTCCTACAGCCCCCACTCCTAAGACAGAGCTAAATGGGACCCAGATTAAAGGGGAGGTGGTGACAGAGGGTGGCCCAGAGCTGGGGACCTTGTCAGGGAACAGAAGCCTGGACTCTAGTCCTGAAGGCTACGCTTCTTGTTTTGACGTCCCGGAAGGACACCTGTGGGACCTTCTCCTCTGGAAGCCTCTGTCAAATGGAGGCAGGAATTCCGAGGCTGGCCTCCAACACAGAGACAGGCAAACCAAGCCATGCAGGAGTCGTCACTTTTCGGAGGGAACTAGCCCTGCCACTTCATCATGACGGAGAAATTAGCATCTCTTTTTAATGGGGGCCAACCCTAAGCATAACACATGTGCTCTGGTTGTCTTCATGAACTTGTTTTCCCAGCCTTTTTCCTGTTAAGATTGGGTCTGCAACAGTTTGGGTTGTACCCAGGGCTTGGTGTAGTCTCTAAGCCCTTCTTCTATTCAGAAAAAGTATTTCAGAGTTGTGGCAAGAAAGATGGACGTTTGAGTTCTCGTTAATTTATAGAGCTTTCCATTTGTAAGCTTCTGCTGTCATGAGTGAAAGCTCATCTCTCAATATTGCTAGATAATGATTTATCGGGAAAAGGACCACAACCCAAGTAGTAATGTTTGTTTAGCCGACACTGATGGAAGGCTCAATCCAGGCCAGACACTGTCCTAAGTACTTCTATGTTAGTTTATTTGGTCCTCGTCTCATTTTTCTGGCATAGATACTACTTACAGATGAGGAAACTGAGGCCCAGAGGGATGGCATAACTTCTCCACTGTCACACAGCCGGGAAGGGTTAGGCTGGGAAGGCAGCCCCTATGGACTCTAGCCCGGGGCTGGGAAGCAGCTCTGGGGCTCTGCAGCTGAGGGCCGGGGTGAGCAGTGGGTCGCTGTTGCTGGCTAGGCAGTGGCTGGGCTGGCTTCCCGACTGTGCTGGGTTCTTGCCTCACACAGTCACTTTGCTACCTCTGCCCACCTTAGCGGAGTTCTCCCGCCCTGCCTCAGTCAGTGAGAACCACGATGCAGGGCCTGACGGGGACAAGCGGGAAGACGATACTGAGTCAGGGGGACGTCGATCGGAGGCCGAAGAGGGAGAGGTCAGGACGCCCACCAAGATCAAGGAGCTAAAGGTAGGGGCCACCTACGTTGCCATGGACTCTTCCCCGGGGGCCCAGGAAGGTGGCCTGAGGCTTAGCCCTGAACGCCACATGTCCTAATTGTATTCAGGCACCCTTGCTATGGGCACGCCATGGACAGGACCTTGGCCTTGGGCTGTACTTCACACCTGGGCATGCAGAATAGGGTTGGGGGTGAAGGTAGGCATGTTGCCCCTTTTGCCCAGGTTCCCTGGGTCCTGGGTGCTTACCTCCTATGAGACTCAGACACCCTCTTACTTAGCTCCCTGTCTCCCCTGTAACTCGTGTCTGGCTCTCCTCTCCTCCCCTGAGCGTGACCAGGTCAACAAAGGCCTCAGTGTGGAGGATAGATGTGTCCTTTCCCGAAGCCCCAGCCTCGCTCTGTACACTTTCAGACCGCCACACCTCAGCCTTAGACTCATGCACAGACATGATGATAGCATGTTCACATGCGCGGGCCTGCCACACACAAGCAGGCCTTTCCTGCCATGTGGTTCTGTCATGGGAACATGGGCCCCCTAAGCCAACTCTCACTGCTACAAGCAGCAGGAAACCCCAGACACCCCCCACCTGTGAGTATAGCTCTGCCCACTGGCTTCTAGTCCCCCGGCCTGTCCTTTGCCTTCCTGGGATAGCTAACAGCTTCCTGCCCCCTCCTTCCTCCAACTACCTCTTTACCTTATGGGCAGCCTAGTAGCTTTCCTGGCTTGTACCACATGGCAGGGTGGGCGAGAGTGCACGGGGCTACCTTGCTAGATCAGGCTGGTTGTGGTGCCTCTAATCTGTTTGTCCTACTGACCCTGCTGGTTCCTTTCCCTCCTGCCATATCCCGCCAGCCGGAGCAGGAAACCACGCCGAGACACAAACAGGAGGTACTGCATGGACCCATCCCTCCCGAGACAGCCATTCGGATTCCCAGTTCATCTGTCACCATCTCATTCTATCCCGGGCTCATGTCCCTGGCACCACATCACCTTCAGCTTCATTTCTGCTCATCTTCCATTATCTTCCTTTCTGGTCACTGCCCTTCCCATTAAGCTCATGTCTTCAGCTCCCAGGTCCGATTCTAGAACCATCCATGTGCCCTACTCACTACCCAATGCCACTTTTCGCTGGGCCTGGCAATCTGTGTTTGCCTCCCCTCCCCCTCCCCTACTTGAAACCACCTGCGCTTCTAGTTCCGAGCTTCCATTTAGCTCCTCTGTCCTCTCCCCACCTCCCCTTCATTCATCTCCTCCCCCTCACACTGTTGGGCTGCACCTCCATCTCTCCTGGCAACCAGCTGTGAGGGTGGGCCTGGGTGGGAAGGAGGGGCCCTCAGCACATCCTCATCCGCTCAGTCTCCAGTCTCACCTCTCTCCCGAGTTGGCTGATACCTCCCTGGAAACCTCCTCACCTCTCCTCTCATTTCCTCTTCTCTGCTTCCATCAGCTTCTGCCTCCCACCCTCGCTTCTTCCCTCTCACAGCGTCCAGCTCTCTCTGGACTCTTCAGGACAAGACAGGCGGTTTGTTCTTGGGCTGCTGAAAGCAGGCCGTAGTCAGGCCCCAGTCGTGGCATCCTGTGATGTGCGCTTCAGCCCAGCTTGGCCACTGACCTGGGGTCTTAGAAAGTTCCTGCAGCCCTGATCTCCCTCTACATGACAGGGCATGCAGAGTACCTGTGACCCCAACTATCCCTGCCGTGTTCTTATTTAGGCCTTGATACTCACACTTGGTTTCTCCAAGGTCTTTAAGCTCCAGGGATCCCAGCATCCAACTACTCTCAGTTTTTGGGAGCACAACTCACCCACAGGACCAGCAGGCCCACTGGGGATCATCTTGGGTTCAGACTCACTCACCATTGAGACCTGTTCTCAGCATCTGTGAGAAGTCCACTGAGCCTGTCCTCTCAGATAGATAATGTCTGAGATCAGCTTAGCCTGGGAGGGAGGCCTGAGGTACAAGTAGGTGCCTGGGGAGAAAGCAGAAGCCTCTGTGGGAAGGTTTGAAAGCAATTCTTAGATGGCATAGGTGAGTCCAGGGGAGGAGTCTAGCCTCATCCAAGGGCAAGCTGATCTTTCAGGTGGCTCCCTCAAAGAGCCTGGCAGATAGTTTCCGGGCCACCAGCCTACTCTTTCTGCCCTAGAAGCAGGTAAATGACTAGCACAGCCAGCTCTCTGTGGCTCACCCTCTGTGGCCCAAGCAGAAGGCTCCATCTGTAACACTGGCATGGGCTCACATGTCATAAATTAATGAGGGACATGCCTGGGACTCCAGCTCTACCTGGCTTATTCTTGTGCCAGGTCTTGAAGCTCACCTCTCTTACTCCAGTCTCAAATTTCTTGCCCATATGAACTTCACTTCCACCCCAGCATCCTGGTTTCTCTGACGCTGTCTGACTCTCTGTACGCTTAGAGAATCAGTACTCAGAAGGCATCTGGAAGGTTCTGGGTGATGGAGAAGGCAGTGGCCCATGGCAGAGAAGGCTGCATGGTCTTTCCCTGCTCCTGAGTATGGGAACAGGGCCCATTTTTCTGAATGATCCAGTTTAGGCATATCTTTATCCCAGGCCTCCATGGAGCCTGAGTTGGACGGGGGCTCAGAAGAGCCTAGTCTGAACACGCTGTTAAGTACAATGGTCTGAGTCTTGACCAGAGTAGGATCCAGGATTCAAGGGGGTTCTGGGAAGCCAGCCAGTGCACCAGTGTGGCTCAGTGAACAGACCTCTCACCCTGGTCCACCTGGCATGCTGGGTCTAGATCCTGAACAGGAAAGTCATCTGTGTGCCTGACTCCATCTGGGCTGAACCCAACAGGGACCCACCCAGATCTGAGGGTTAGAGTGGAGTTGTATGTTCTGGGGTGAGGGAGGCAAGAGAGAAGAGGAGGTGATATCATTAGAATGTATTCTTTGTCACCCAGGTGCCCCATGCCCTGGTCAGCTCACCTCTTGGAGTTCATCGTCCTGGCTTCCTTGGCTCCTTGGGCTGTTTGAGGGAGACAGCGTTGCGATGGGTGGTGGAGGATGGTGCTGCCATCCTTCCAGTGTCTTCTCCGCCTGCGTGGAGCAGTTTCCCTCACACTCTGCCCTCTCCTCCCATGCCTAGTTCTTGGACAAGCCAGAGGACGTCCTGTTGAAGCACCAGGCCAGCATCAACGAGCTCAAGAGGACCCTGAAGGAGCCCAATAGCAAACTGATCCACCGGGATCGTGACTGGGAGCGGGAGCGCAGGCTGCCCTCATCACCCGCCTCCTCCTCCCCTAAGGGCACCCCCGAGAAAGCCAGTGAGGTAGGTATCATGCTGAAGCCCCTGACAGGAACCTTGGGTAAAGAGCACAGGGAGGGACGTGGGGTTACATATATATTTATCCTCCACATAAAAATGTGTCCCTTGTTGCCTGTAGGTGGGTGGGATAGAGAGGCAGGTTGGGCTGAGAGAGTCAAATACACTAACTGCTCTGTCTAAGGGGCCATCTTAAAACATGAAAAACTTAAAAAAAAAAAAACTCCTGGTAGCTTACTGTAACCCCCTTCAGTCAGGCAAAAAAAACAAACAAACAAACAAACAAAAAATGGGGAAAGGGTGCTTGTTAGAGACTCGGGTTCCGTGGCCCCACGTGAAACCCACTGAATCAGCTGTTGGCCAGGAGAGCCCTGGAACCAGCCTTTCAAACAAGCGCCCTAGGCAAATGTCTTGCATACTCAACTTTAAGAATCCTAGAAGCCCTACCCAGGAGCCAGACCCTTTGGGGCCTACATGAAAGTACAGGGAGAACATGGTCCCTCCTGGAAGGAGTCTCAGAGTTCACCGAAGTGGGAAGTCCACTGTGTGAAGCTGACTACTCCTGAGGCTTTCCCAATAGGACCCCACATGTCCTGCCTTCCAGGGTGGAAATGGTGGGGGTATTTTCTCAACTGAAAAAGATGAAGATAGGATTTGGGGAAATCCCATATTTACACTCCCAAGCTATTATATTTAGCGCTTGCTGAATCTTGGCAAGATTTACCCCAGTTTCCATTTAAGCATTTTCTCTTTTGAGCTGCTGCTCACCGGTCACCAGACTGTGGTCTAGACTTAGGCTCCTGGTTTCATCCCCAGCCAGCTGGAGGACGCTTGGAGCTTGTTACTCCATCTCTCTGAGGCCCTGTTACGTGGAGATGTTGACAGGGATTTTATAAAGGCCAGATGAGATAATGCCTGGAGAGGGACCACAGGGCCACCATGCTGCCTGATAGGAAAACTTGGTGTTCCTTATGGAGTCCCAGGACTCTGCCTTGTAGAACTTCAAATCAGAGCTAGGAAGGGCCCTGGGAACCCTCTCTGTTCAAAGGCCGTCTTTTACTGAGACCCAGAAAGACAAAGAATGACTCAGCATGATAGCTGCGTTTGTGTGTCCCACAGCATTGTGCTTGCCATTAATTCACAGCCGACTTGAGGCAAGACCCAGTCATGTGCAGGCCTTGGCCTGGGTGCAATTGAAGTGTGATGAAAAAGCTGCCCAGAGAGCTAGATGTCAGAAAGGATGGATAGATGAATGCTGGGAGCTAGGACCAGAATTGGGGGTGTGCCCCACCTGCTGGTGGCAACTGGAACTTCCAGCAGAGGGACCTTGTTAAAGATGGAGGCTGTTCCAGCCTTCCAGCTGCCACCTCCTTAGCCCTGAAACCTGCAGTCACCGCTCCTGGGAACAACAGGAGCCCACCACAGAGTTATGGGCCATTTAGAACTGATTCTTAGGCCCCTTGGCATTTATGGGTTCTTGAAGATTTGCAAAACAGGGAGGAACCATAGACAGGAAGTTGACTCTGTTCTCAGGTGAGTGAAATTACCTCTGTGAACCTCACTGCAAAGTCCTCTTAAAGGGGGCAGAATGCCATCCCATTGGGAGGTCATTGTAAACGCCAGCTAGAGCTGTGACGATGGAAACTTGTCCTCAGGAAGTGTTGACAGTTCTGGGGCCACTGCAGAAGGTGACCGGAATCCCTGGGCCGATGCGGCTCTGAGGAGGAGCCTGCCAGGGCACACCACCCAGAGCTCCCGGAACCACCTCAAAGCTTGTCGGGTCCCACCCAGGCCAAGGGCAAAGCAGCAGGAACTTGAACCATCCCCACTGGGCAAAGCCAGGTTTTAGTTTGAAAGACAATTGTGCGTGGGGGCGGGGGAGGGGAAATGTACATAAGTCAGACGTTGATGCTGGGTGTCTTCCTCACTCAGCCTCTATCTTTTTATTATATTTTTACTTATTTGTATGTGTATATGGTGTGTGTGTGTGTGTGTACAGCTTTTAAGAGCCTCTCCTTCCATGTGAGCCCTGGGGATTGAACTCGGGTTTTCAGGCTTGGCGAGCAGGCCGTTTCACCCACTGAGCCATCTCACCAGCCCCTCTACTGTACTTTTTGAAACAAGCCTCTCACTGAACTTGGAGCTCACAGCTGGTCAGGCCGGCCAGTGAGCTCTACCTCCCCAGAGGTGGATCGCGTATGTATGCTGCAGCGCCTGGCTTTTTTCCCACAGGCGCTGAACCCAAACCCTCATGCCTGACAAGAATCTTATTAATTATGGCACCTCCTCAGCCTTTTGAGGACAGCTTTTAAAAGATAATGACTGTGACCCCAGCTACGGGTTCAAACCACAGTCTAAGCCCACGACACCTTGGGAAGGCCGGAAGTCAGAGTCTAAATGGTGGGATGCCAAACTCCCTCAGAATGTTAGTGGGCTCGAGGGACAGGCCAGAAGCCACAGGACTGCCTGGTAGCTGACCACAGCTGTCCCTCTCTGTCTCCCCTCAGAGTGGCCCCTCCCTGACTGAATTAGGCGCTAACATGATAATGTGGGGCTTACAAATCTGGACTGTTTACAGACGATGTGTCTCTCCTGCTCTTTCTCTCTCCTTTTGTGTTTCTCTCTCCTTTCTCCCTCTCTCCCTTTCCTCTGGCCCTGGGCCTCCCCTGCAGGCCCAGAGGACCCAGGACACTTCTCAGCAGGACTTGGTACCTGGAACAGCAGCAGGCTTGGAAGTGTTCACTCAGAAAAGCCTCGCAGCATCTCCTGAGGTTACTGTCTTTACTCCCCCACACCCCTCCTCCTGGGCCTCCAGCCCTCCCTGACCACCCTGTAAGAGCTTAAGACATCCCTTTCCCTATGGTGAGGGGAACAGGCCAGACTGCCATAGAGTGGAGAACAGAGGTGGCCCATGTTGTCCCGATGTTATAAATGGCAAGTGTCCCCATCCCAGGGATCCATGAAGGGTCCGCCCCTTCCTCATCTGTTAGGACAAGATGGCAGCTGTGCCCAGAAGACAGAACTCATTGCCTCTAGCTCTAATGGAGGCAAAGACACAACCCTTTCTGGAGGCAGGCTCTGACCTTAACCTTGGGGTTAGGTCTCTTGGTCCCTGCCCTGAGATCTTGTCTCTGTTTAGAAGCCTGACCATAGTCTATGGATTAGGACACGGCATTACCTCTCGCCCTTCTTCCAGCCATCTAAACTTATCTGCAACATTGGTCTCAGTCTCCAGGAAGGCAAAAAGTAGATGCCTTCCTTCCAAAAGCATCCTCAAGTGGCGAGGCAAGCCTTCTAAGTGAGGGGGCATTGTTTCTGGGTCCAAAAAAGCATCAGGTCCAGGGTTCTTGGGGTTTCCCACGGCCATGTGTGGCTGCTGAGGATGGATCACCACGTTCCCCTTCTCCGCTGAGATTTCACAGTCTGTTGGAGTTGGAAGTCAACTGGCAGGGATCATCCTCCATCTACCCTCTGTGGCCCTCCTATCAGTGTTCTCTCCTGAGGGCAGTGAGACAGGAGTCAGCAGCATCCCAGCGTTAGGGGCATGGAGATGTCCTGGCGTCTGGAGATGCCCTTAGAAACCAGGATGGCACCCGTGTGGGGAGCGAGCCACGTGTGCACCCTCACCAGCGGCCTGGCACACCAGCCTTACTGCTCTGTCTGCAATCAACAGGGTTATTCATTCCTTCTTCCTAGCCTCTTCCCTTTCCACTCCCTTCCTCTTAACTCTCCTTCCACAAGGTCTTTCTATGTTGCCCTGACTGGACTCAAATCTGTGTTCCTCCTGCCTTGGCTGCCCAGGGGCTGGGCATGAAGTTTTCAAATTGGCAGAAGTCTGTCCTAATCTTGCCACCTGATGGCCATGGCCTGCTCTGCAGCCTCCCTGAGGCCACCCTTCAGGAGGTTGAACAGCTAGCTCCTCTCTGCACCTTTCAAGAGCTTCTCCCAGGATGTGGGTTTTAGAGAGCCCCCTTCCTGGACCCTCTCTGACCCCAAAAGCAATCAAGGGTTTCAGGTGGGGCCTGTGCAGCCAGGAGCCAGTGGAGCCGCCCACTGGAGTTTCTTCTTGTCTGACATGAAGCAGAGCTGTATTCCTTCTTCCACTTCTGTGCCTGGAGCAGAGGCAGCTCCACCAGATGGCAGGAGGCACTCTAAGCAGGGCCCTGGAGAACCAGGGACTGACTCGGGAGGGAATGGCATGAGCGCTGACTTATCTGTTGACACCCTAATGTTGCCTCATCCTGTGACTCGGGCCAGATGTGCCTTACCAGTGCACCGGTGCCAGCCAGATTGTTCTTTTCCTTCTTTTGGTAAATCACGCCCCTCCCCCACTATCCTTACCTGTGACTTCTTAGCAGCAGAACCCTTGTTTCTTCCGTCACCGCTGCTATGTGATCTTCTGAAGATCCTATTATTAGGAGCCTTGGTTTCCCCCTCTGAAACAAGGTTGCCAAGTGGAGTAAATTTAATTATGTAGACGAGGGGCTGGCACCGCCTGGCATCTAATAACTAAACATGACCATGTGTTTCCCTTCTCTGCCTCTAGAATCTTTCCGGTCTGTGCCAGCTTCCACCCCACACACTATTGCTCATCTATCCTGTTTGCTATTTGTGACTGGAGTGGGAATATTCCAGAAGGGGCCTCTTTGGCCAGCCTTGACCATCATCACTAGGGTGGTACTGTTAGACGCTGGAATGGAAGCAGCTGATAGAACTTGCCTCCCAAGGAGATGATCAGGGCTGGCAGAACACGTTCCTCTGAAGTCTCAGGTATAGGCACCTGAAACAGCATCTCGGAAAGCCGTGCCACACTCCACCCAGACCTCCCCTTCCTTAATCTCTTTCCTTCAGGCAAGGCTCTCTTAATGAGGTCAGATGCCCTGACCTGGGGGAAAGGGTTTGCAGTGCTCTCTTGATCCTTCCAGCTCCTTCAGAGCTTATGGGCTGGGTGGACTCATCATGTCACAGCCTGAAAAGGAGCCATGTTTCTGGAAGGCGTTTCGGGCACATCTCACACATATCATCATAGAGGCAGTCTTGGGAGGGTGGGAAGGTTTTTAAACTTCAAAGAACTCAGAGTCAGGTCTTGGGTTCTAGGCTCCATGACTAGGTGGTCCAGTTGTTTTCCTCCCCTAGGCCTAGACTTGGAAGTTGATTTACACATGTGCATCTTAAAGACACTGAGTGAAGATGGAGACTTCGAAGAAGGGAGGAATCTTCAGGTTGTAGGGCCATTCAGACTGCAACTTCCCCAGGGCTGCTCAGAGTTTGCAGTATGTGTTTATTAGATGGACTTCCAGTGAGATTTTGTGGGGAGAAAGTATACTCTTGGGCCCAAGAGTAAAATCACAATGCTTGAGGCTTTGGTAATGATCGTGACCTCTAAGCTGGGGGGAATGGCTGGAGGCTGATCCTGCAAAGTCTGACAGTGTCATGCTCTGTTCCTTTGGCTCCCCAGTGCTTCAGTCTGGGCTCCTTTCCTTCTGTGGAATGATCTGTCTGGTCAGTTCTCTTCTACTTCCCATAGTTTTTTGTTGGACTTCTCCAGGGATTGGTCTTAAAATCATTTCTTTTGGGCTGAAACCCTGGACTGTTTGAGCTGTTTACGCCATTGCTCCAACTGGTGCCTTTTCTCGACCTCAGTTTTTCCCTGGAGGGAGATGATTCTGATGTCTTTGGAGTTCTTTTGCCTCAGTATATCCAGAGATTCCTTGAGCTATAAGTGCCTTCCCCATTGACAGTGGGAAGCATGCAGTTACAGGAGGAAAAGGCCTAGCCCGTGTATGGATCTCCCATTTCCCGTTGCTCCTGGGGAGGGCTGGAGACCCCATCTCACTCTGTCAGGTTGGAATCAGTGCTTAACGATAATGATGATGGGCTTTGTCACCCCTTTCTGACCCTGGCCAGTCCCGGGACACATAGTCCCAGTGTCAAACCCTTTGGTGGTAGATGGGCAATGGGTCCCTTCTTACAGAGGCAAGAGGCCATCTCTTCAAGTGCCTGCTATTTCATGTTAAATCTTCTTGCTCCAATTGAAACACAGGGCTCAGAGCATTGGGTATTTGTAGAAAGAGTGTACACTAGGCCAGGAGAACTTGGCCTCCTGCCAGTGGCCACCACACAACAGGAAGAAAGGGAGGCGAACCTCGCAGAGATCCTTGCTGATGGCAGACTCTCCAAGGTAGACATTCTGGTGGACAAGTTCAAAGTTGAAGTGGCCACAGAAGAAACAGTGGGAGCCAGAAGAACAAGCACTCAACAGAAAGGGGAAATGATGGCAAGTCCAGAAGCCTTTGAGAAAACGAGAGAGAAAGGCCCGTGCATCGAAGGAGGTCCCAAAGAGGCTACTCAAGCTGCAGCCTACACACCAACAGACAAGCTCCTGGAGGGCGCCAAGCTCACCATCAGGAACCACCACCTCTCAGATGGTCAGCTAGAGAGCCAAGCAGAGCTGAGCAAGGGGCTGGAGGGGCTCCAGGCTCGGGGAAGACCTATGGCTGCAGGGGTTGGGCCAGTGCTGGGAGAGGTCCTCTCTCCTGCGTCAGACAAGGGAGGATTCCAGTCCTTCCTGTTGGACCCAGCCCAGTCAGAAGCCAGAGCTGACTCAAGTGATGAGACTGACACCTCCTTCGCAGAGAGGAGCTTCTATCTAAATTATGAAGAGAGAGACTCGGAAGACCAAGTCCTCCCCTCACCCTCGGAGGACAGTGGAGAGCACCTGGGTGCCCCTCCTAGAGAAGGAAGCTGGCTGGAGCCGGCAGGGGGCCACGCAGAGCCCTGGGAGCTGAAGTTCTCACACCCGAGGGGTTCTGGCCCAGACTCTAGCCAGAATAAAAATGAAAGCCATGTGGCTTCCTCAGAGGAAGAAGCCTGGTCCTCCAGGGACCATGGAAGACCTGATGAGCTGCAGGGAGCTGCTATGGGGCGGGCTTTGGCAGAGGGCTGGGAAGAAGCCCAGCCAAGGCCGGAAGGAGAGCTGACCTCCCCGATGGCCAGGGTGGCTGGAGATGAGGAGGCCCCCACGGGTGTAGATTGGCTGGGAAAGACTGAGAAAAGTCCCCCAGCGAGTTGGAAGAAGCAGCCGTCCTCTGGAGGAGGAGGGGTGCACCTAGATGCCCAGGCCTGCGCCCTGCTGAGGACCATCCCTCCTCACATTAGGAGGCCAGCCAGGCCAGACCAAAGCAGCTTCCCACCCAGAGAGAAAGGAACAGTTTCTGCTGAAGAACCTGACAGAGAGGACAGGAAGGCTGTCACTCCCCTGCCAGCCTCCTCTGGTCACACCAGGAGTCTGGCCTCCAGGGAGGATACTTCTCTAAGTTCAGCCCCTCCTGGGTCAGGGGAGCCTTCGGAGGTCAGGGATCCTTTTGGTGATCAATTCCCTGTGGTTCTCAGATACATCCATCTTCCTGAGGAGAGCCCGATGCCGAAGGACACACGGGGTGAACGCAGAGCGCCTCCCGTTGCCAGCAGGAAGCCCAGAGTTGTCCCTGAAGGAACCGAGGGCCCTGTGCTCCTGGGGTCGGTGTTCCCTTCAGGAAAGCAAAAGGAGACTTCTCTCCAGGAAAGGGATCAAGGGAGTCCCCAGGAAGATATTAGCAAGACCTCTGTGGCTAACAAAATTCGGATATTTGAGACCCATGGAGCTGAGACTTGCCGAGCCAGTCAGGGTGAAATGAGGGCCCTTCCACAGGAGCTGCCTTCAGAGGCGTCCCCGGGACAGGTAGAACAACAGCAAAACAAGCGTCTAGACCTGGGCTTTGTCCAACTCCAGCCTCCGGGGGACCTGGCAAGCCCCAAAGTTGCCCATTCTTCTCTCACGCCTCTGGCTACCCAGCAGTACGGGGAGGGCACCTCTGCTCCCTCCCACCAGGAAGGATGCGCAGAACCAGAGCTCCTGTCCCCAGATTCAGGCTGTGAAACCACGCTGGAAGAAGCTACTGGGGTAACTGGCCACGTGAGCCCCCGCCCCCACCAAGTTCCCATGTGTGGAGGCTGACCGCATGCTACGTAGCTTCTTAGAAGCATGCTCCGGCGGCCCCTCGTCATTCCTGCAACGATGCTGCTTGTTCATCCCTGGAAGGTCTTCTCCTACACAGCCCTGAGATAACCCAGGCTGAGAGATGGGGCCATCTGCTTAGCCCTTATTAGCCTGTTAACTCCCCCAGCTTTTGCTGCGACCTTATGTCGACCTTATGTCTGGAGGGCCCAGCGGTGGCCACACAGAAGGGGCTACCACTAGCAGCAAATCACATTCTTGCTTTGCCTTGCTCCTCCCACCTGCTAGACTCCTCCCCATCTTGCTTGGCTTATCCAGAGATCTTCATCCTTTCCCGGTCCCTGGTACCCTACCTGCTGGAAGCCGACAGCCCAGAGGTTTCCTACTTTCCGCTTCCCTCTCCAGTTTCTTTCTGCCTCCATAAGACTAACTATCTTCTCTAATCCAGAACAAATCCGGAGATGCGGCCAGGGAAGAGAAGAGCTTCTTCAGCCACTTAGCACCAAACACCCCTGGGAAGGTGGGGCGTCTGAGATTCGCCAGCCCTCTGGGCCCTCAGGTCTCTGCAGCCCCCCTGTGCCCCGATGACTTGGTCATCTTCATCCAATTGGGATGCATCCTTCCCTAGATTCCCACCTGCTCTAGCAGAAACCCCTACCCCATGGCTGCTCACACTCTGGCTTGTCTGGAATGTGATCCTCACACCTCTCAACCTTCCAGAACCTGGCCGTGTGGAGGCTGGTTAACAAGAGAATCTCTGAAGCATACTGAAATGAGTTCTTTCAAAGTGCTGTGTGGGTGTTAGATTGGTCTTTTAAACAACAACAACCAAACAAACAAAAATCACAAACTAAGCGCCCTGACAGGCCAGTTGAGAGGTATGTATTTAGGACAGAGTTTGCTGGTGCTCTGTGGGCATTCCCTTGGCCTGCTGTTGTCAATTACACTGATGGGGCTTCCTCTCCATGGTTGCCATAGAGTTCAAGGTGGCACTGGTGTTGCTCCCCAGGAAGCTGGGGTCCAGAGGGCCTGGGTCAGTATTTCTCTTCTCCCTGGTTGATGCTGCCCTCCCCCTGGGGGCTCAGTGCAATTGACAGACTGCTGGCTTCCTGTGTTCCTCAAGCTCCACGGGCTCTTTGCCTCCTCTCCCGAGTTCCCATGACTCCCTGGCGTCCTTCCTTAGTTTGCCTCTCAATGCCGCCTGCAAGGATGGGCCTGTGGTCCAGGCCTCCATCCCTGCCTTTCGCACAATGCCGCTTCTGATAGGCTTTTGGATCATAGCCTTGGAGAGGGGGCCTCCTTTCCAGAACTCGCTGGAAGGATGCTAGCTATGTAGTTGCCTTGCTGTCCATTTGAGACCCTCCAAAGGAGCGTCCCCGCTCTGAGAAGTTCTTGTTTTCATTTTGGTTTATGTCAGATTCCAGGGAAACCTTTCTGTGGCGTGTTTTTTTTTTTTTTTTCTTTCATTTCCTGATGTGTTCTTCCATTTAAGAACATCCTCAAAACCTTGCGATTTCTTCTGACATTTACCATCATGACCTCTCTCTCTCCCCCTACCCCAATCCCCATTCCCCTGCTTTTGTCTGGCCATAGAGAGCAGGGGTGAGGGAGGGCTCAGAGGAAAAAGTCAAACCACCACGTCCGCGTGCCCCAGAGAGTGACACGGGAGATGAGGACCAGGACCAGGAGAGGGATGCAGTGTTCTTGAAGGACAACCACCTGGCCATTGAACGCAAATGCTCCAGCATAACAGTCAGCTCCACATCCAGCCTGGAGGCTGAGGTGGACTTCACGGTTATTGGTGACTACCACGGGGGCGCCTTTGAAGACTTCTCCCGAAGCCTCCCTGAGCTCGACCGTGACAAGAGTGACTCTGAGACAGAGGGCCTGGTGTTCTCCCGGGATCTCAAGGGGCCCTCCAGCCAAGAGGATGAGTCTGGGGGCATCGAGGACAGCCCGGATCGAGGGGCCTGCTCCACCCCAGAAATGCCCCAGTTTGAGGTACAGTGGAGCTTCATGGAGATCCAGTCTGACTGGCACTGCATGTTCAGAGGGCCCGGGGCCACGTGTAAGAAGAGTGGCCATCAGCTGCAGCCTGAAGCTCTGTCTGGTGTTGCATGACTGCCCTTCCTAGATCAGCATGGTTCTGCAACCGCATGTTTGCTGTGTCGGTTCACCCCTAACGTGTGCTCCATGGTGTCCTAACCCTGTGACCCCATCGCTTGCTGAGGTCAAGCGATGCCAGTCCTACTGACTCCTCGGCTCCCTACCTGTGTTGCATGGCACCTGTAGAGAGCATGCGTCTCTGGACTCTGGAGTCTTCCACAGCTGGCCTGAAACCTCAGTGGTTTCTCCTGATGAAGGCCTGAGATGATTTTGCCTGTAGAAGAGGCATTTATTTAAACCTGTCAGGCCTTGGCGTGTCAGTGGACACTCCAGGAGAAGGGAAGACACAGCCTTTGGGGAGGATGCAGCACCAGCCCTGGGCTTCTCTGCCTTGTGGCTCGCTTGGTAGAGCTGCAGAGAGGATTCTCAGCAACTCATTCTTGTCCTTCACCTCTAGCTGACCCCTCCCCTCCCCCAGGCAGTGAATACCAGCTTATTCTTCCTGGGATCTTACTCCATGCTGTACCCTCTGGGTGGAAGGCTGGCCCTCCCTTTCCGTGCCTTCCCGTGATCCCAGACAGAGCTCATACATCCTTTCTACATGCTTTTCTGGTCACCTGGGTGACAGTACTGTGCCCTCCACATCCTGCCCTGCCCTGCCGTGCTTTTGGCTTTAACATTCCCCAGCACAGTCAGGACAGTGGCTGGTAGCTTTGCCCTCCTCCCGCCAGGTGGTGGCTCTTCTAAGGCTGAGGCACACCCGGCACCAAGGGATGAGTAATTGAATGAGCGGCTAGATCGCAGGATTCTGGGAGAATCCCTCCTTTCTCACTCTTCCTTCCAACTCCTGACAAGCTAGAATCCATTCATCAAACCTGCAGTGTGTATAGCCTAGAACTAGGCCTGAGAGAGGACTCAAATGAGACCGATGATTTAGCTTGGGACTCCTAGAATACAGTTTGGAAGCTGATGACCCTGGGCCATATCCAGCCAACGGAAGTGTTTTCTCTGGCTTTAATTTAAAAATCACAACAATATATTTTCCTATATCATTAAAAAACAAAACAAACAAACAAAAAACCCAATAAAAACAACTAAGCAGCCAAGCCATGATAAAAGGCAAATCTGAGTGGAATCCCACATGCTTTTTATTTCTCTTGGCCAGCTAGGCCCCTCACCTGTTCACATCTGATGCCCAGCCCCTGGGTATTTCCATGCTCTGAGCAGCAGTTTACGTGAAGTGGCCAAAACATATAGGTAATAATGTGTGTAAGGAAAACACTGAGCGTTGAGTTTAACCATCCCTTTAGTACAGCCTCAAAAGACACGCAGCCCCTGGGGTCTGGGGTCAGACCCCACTTGTGCTGGTGGAGGCCTTGGCTCTCCCGTTTCTCAGCGACATGAGTTATGTCTTCACACTTCTCCGGGAAGTTAGCCGACCGTGGGGGTGGAGGAAAGCTTACTCCTCCTGCAGCCCAGTTGCCTGTGAACAGGAGCCGTGTCTGGGCTTGAGTTCTCATATGTTCCTTTCATGTCCCTGTAGTCTGTGAAAGCAGAAACCATGACCGTCAGCAGCCTGGCAATCAGAAAGAAGATCGAGCCAGAGGCCATGCTGCAGAGCAGAGTCTCCGCTGCAGACAGCACCCAGGTAACCTGTACCTTCACTGTGGCCTGGCACGGGGGGGGGGGGGGCGCCCGTAAGGGGGGGGCCCTCACTGGAATGACCAAGCCCTTTGGTTAACCTTTCCTTCTCTGACCCTCCCTGAGGTCTGAGGGGGGATGGGGAAAGAGCATGCTTCTTACAGCCTGAGTTTCCCCCCTGTCAGTGGGGGTGACCCCGCCTCCTCCATCCTCCTGGGAGTGTTCAGTGCTCATGGGCTAGCAGATCAGGGCCATGGCTTTCAGGCTGCTTGACAGGTGTGGAGAGGTTCTTCCAGGGCAGCTTAGGAGAGAGAAGGAGAAGTCTCAAGCACTGTTTGGTCAGAAGAGCTCGCCTGGGTCATTTTTTATGCATGGAGATGCCACATTAGATTGGCAAGATGAGCAAAGCAAGCTCTAATGACTAACGAGTGTCTGTTAGCGAGGTGAAGCTCGCTTGCACTCTGGAGGAAGCTGGTCTGCCTGGACACACAGCTTAGCTGACATACTCCACAGGTGCCCTCTGTGGGGCGTCAACCTTGAAAATCTGTAAGTCTGCATTTATGGGTTCTTCCTGCCCAGAGGGCAAGAGCACTCAGTCGCTTCTCCTCATGAGCAAAGGGACTTTGTAGCTTCTCCTCAGCTACAAAGGGACTTGAGCAGATTGATTTGGTAAGCGGTAGAGCCTTTACCCTAGATTCCACCCCCAGCACGAACAACCAGAATATGACATAAAATAACACAGACAAATGTAATTTTCAGAAATTTTTTTTTCTGCTGTTACAGCTGGGTATCGGCTACACAGCGGCTAGTGCCACTACAGAGTCCTGAGCTGGGTCACCTCAGACAAGCCACTGCTTTCTCTGGCTTGCTTTACTTTAGTAACTTTTGTTTTTAATGCAAAGTATAAAGAAACCAAAATGATCCTGAATCCCATAACCTGGCAACTCTTGTCTTCAAAATGTCCAGTTATGAAATTCAAAAGACTTATGGCACTATTCTTATACTATCTCCTGGAAAAACAAATAATGCCAACACAGATGTTCACATCTGTTTATACTTAAAGTTATTAGATAAATGACTATTGACTTTTACAGTGTACCCTTTTGCTCTCAAGCAGTTTAGAACTTATTGATTTGCACTGTGTCTCTGTCTTGTCCCTTCTCTCTCAGTCTCTGTGTCTCTGTCTGTCTCTGTTTCACCCTCTCCCCACCCCTCTCTCTCTCCTCCCTTCATGGGATAGGGCTCTTGTCAGGTATTCCAGCCTGGCCTCAAATTTAACGAAAAGCTGAGGATGACCTTGAACTTCCTCCTGCTTCTGCCTCCCATGTGCTGGGATAGCAGGTTGCACCACCAAACCTAGTCGTTGTTTAATGGGGTGGGGACCTAAGCTTCATGCGTGCTAAGCAAGCACTCTCCCGTGCAACATAGCCAGCTCTGTGGCCACAGTTCTTAGTCCACATAGGAAGCCTGTCTGCATTTGTGTTTCCATCTCCCATCACTGGACCTGTGATGTTTTCTGTCTTTCCCACTAGTCAGTGCCGTGGGAAAGTTTCCTTGTTCATATTTCTTGGTGAACTTTTTTAAAGTACCAATTTCGTTGTAGTTATGGTTCCCATTGCTGTGATAAAAGAACATGATCAAAAGCAACTTCAGGAGGAAAGGGTTTATGTCAGCTCACAACTCTCATCCATCACTGAGGGAAGTCAGGTCCAGAGCTCCAGCTGGGAACCTGGAGACAGGAACTGAAGCAGAGGTCATGGAGGAACCTTGCTTGCCGGTTGCTCTTCATGGCTTATTCAGCCTATTTTCTTTTTCTTTTCTTTTCTTTTCTTTTCTTTTCTTTTCTTTTCTTTTCTT